CAGATCGAGCTCAGAGACTTGCCTGGCATCAGGCAGAGACCAGGGCTCTGTGGCATCGACCCACTTCAACACATGTCACTGCTGACCTCAGGCAGTAGTGTGTACCCTCAAGATTTCACAAGGCCTAAGGGCTGTGGGGCCCAGGTACAAACTACATAGTACCTGCTTGTGTGGACGAAGAGCTGCCTCTGTCACTCTCCTACAACCGTGGGCAGCTGACAAGGAAAGAGAGGGCTGTTTCTGGGACTCAGCGCCAGGCTCAACATTGAGGAGACTCTACTGGACTCTGTTCCCAGTCTCTGGACCTGCTTCAGTACCAAGTGGTGATCCATGGTCCCACGTGATCAAGTCTCATGCCCCAGTCCACACTGCCAGTGGCTGGGAAGAGAAGCATCAGGCATTGAGCCTAACTTAGCAACAGATAGACCAAGCTCTGGTGACTCAAGCTATGGTGATAAAAATGAGCGGTGGGATCCAGGGGTGATGGACACAGGGCAAGGATTCTGAGCCTGCCACAGGCCCAGGAGGACTCTTGTACAGATGGACTAACCCTTTTTTAGGCACTTCCTCAGTTCATTCTGAACAACACATAAACTGCAGATTTGGGACAAATTTGAACTTGACAGTATTATAGAACTGAATCAGTAAAAAAAAAAAAAAATGAACAGCAGACCTGGGACAAACCATGATTTAGGATGTTATCTAGCATTGAACTAGCAGAAGCATCCATAGGCTCAGAGAAAAGAAACAGCTGCCTAGAATTTGTAGAAGGACAACCACAAATGAAGCCAGATCACTAGAACGAACACTTCACACAGAGATGGCATCACATACAAGGATCAAGAACTTCCAGGGAATCATGACCTCGCCTAAACAGCAAAATAAAAAGCAGAAACCAAACATGTAGGAAGTGAAAATTTCAAATTCTTAGATGAGCTTTCAAAATAGATATTTGAAGGAAATCCAGTGGACTTCAGGAGAACACTGAGAAAATGATGTTTAATATTCTTATAGAGAGAATGGATAGGGAAAAGTAATTAAAATCAAACAATTTCAACTGAAAGGTACACAAAGCAAAATGTAAACTGTATTAGAAGTATCAACAGCAGAATAGGTGAAATGGAAGAATCCATAAGCTTGAAGACAGGCTATTTGGAAGAACACAATTGGAAGGAGAAGAAAGAAAAAGAATCAAGAAGCATGAAGAAAGATTACAGAAACTTTGAGACAACATGTGCCGATGGCAGCAGACAGACAGACATACAGACATCCACACACATCCACAGATAGCTGGATACAACCACACATCCGTACCTAGGCAACCACATTCATGGCCACATCCATCTACAGGCAACCATGCCCAGCCGTGCCTCCAGTTGCTTATATGGGTTTACAGACACAAGTGGTCCAGAGCCAAGCCATTACCTAACAGGCTTATGGGCAGCTAGACAAGCAGGAGGACGTGTTGGTTACCATGACACCTGTTACCACAGACAGAGATATGGGAGCGCAGAGATAGGGGGGCATGTGCAAAAGGTGTGGGAACTTGGTAAACATCATCTTCCCAACTTCATCTCCCCAAAACTAAGAGATAACAGAGAACTCCCCAAACCCAGAAAGAGATACAGCTATCCTGGTACATAAAAGCTAAAGGTCACCAGTCAGATTCAACTTACAAAATTAACTGCAAGAAATAGTATAATTAAGCTCTTCAAAGTTAGAGATTTTCAAAGCTGCAAGAGAAAGGAAGAAAAAACACGTAAAGAGCTGTCATTTCATCTGACTGCAGAGTTCTCAGCAGAAATCTTACAGGACAGGAGGGAGTGGGGTGAGACTTTTATAATAAGGAGGGAAAAAAATTTCCAAATAGGAATACTATATCCAGTAAAGCTATCCTTCAGATATGAGGCAGAGATATGGCATTTCCAGACAAACAAAAGCTGAGAATATTTATTACCACCAGACCTGTATTACAAGACATGCTGAAGGGATTTTCTCAAACTGAAATGGAGGCTAATGAGTAAAAATAAAATATTAGATAGAAATCTCACTGGCAAGAGAGCTGGTGTAGGGTGTACTGGTAAAGCTGCTGCCTATGACGCTGACATCCCATGTGGGTGCTGGTTTGAGTCCCAGCTGCTTCACTTCTGATTCAACTCCCTGCTAATGGCCTGGGAAAGCAGCAGAAGGTGGCCCAAGTGCTTGGGCCCCTGCCACTCACATGGAAAACTCAAATGAAATTCCTGGCTTCTGGTTTCAGCCGTTGCAACCATTTGGAGAGTGAACAAGCTGTGGAAGATTTCTGTTTGTCTTCTCTCTGTAACTCTTTCAAATAAATTAAATCTTAAAAAAAGGATAACTATAGTAACTATACAAATTAGGAATGCTCTTATATTATAAACATAGTACATTAACCACTCACATATTTAGTACAAAGACTAAACAAATCATAATTTCTACATTAAAATGTCAACACAGGAATATGGAAAGAGGTAAAATGTGACATCAAAAATTCAATATGTGAGCCGGCGCCGCGGCTCACTAGGCTAATCCTCTGCCTTGTGGCACCGGCACACCGGGTTCTAGTCCCGGTCGGGGCGCCGGATTCTGTCCCGGTTGCCCCTCTTCCAGGCCAGCTCTCTGCTGTGGCCAGGGAGGGCAGTGGAGGATGGCCCAAGTGCTTGGGCCCTGCACCCCATGGGAGACCAGGAGAAGTACCTGGTTCCTGCCTTCGGATCAGTGCGGTGCGCCGGCTGCAGCGCGCCGGCCACGGCGGCCATTGGAGGGTGAACCAACGGCAAAGGAAGACCTTTCTCTCTCTCTCTCTCTCACTGTCCACTCTGCCTGTCAAAAAAAAAAAAAAAAAAAAAATCCTGGCTTCTGGCTTCAGCCATTGCAACCATTTAGAGAGTGAACAAGCTGTGGAAGATTTCTGTTTGAGTCTTCTCTCTGTAACTCTGTCTTTCAAATAAATTAAATTTTAAAAAAAGAGTAACTATAGTAACTATCCAAATTAAGAATGCTCTTATATTATAAACATAGTACATTAACCACTCACATATTTAGTACAAAGACTAAACAAATCATAATTTCGACATTAAAATGTCAACACAGGAATATGGAGAGAGGTAAAATGTGACATCAAAAATTCATTATGTGGGGTGGAATGGAGCCCAAGTGTAGAGGCCTTTAGCATTTTTTCTTATCTCCTTGATTTTTGTTTGTCTCTTTACCTATCTCTATGATAGTCCATGTTATATTGTTAATAATTTCCAATAGCTTGTTACAATCGAAAAAAATTTTGGTAAGCCATAGGGTAACCACAAAGCAAAATTCTACAGTGTGTTACCAAAAATAATGAGCAATGAATCAAAGTAGATTACTAGAGAAAATCACCTAACCACAAATTAAGATTGTAAGAGAGAAAGAAGAAAGTAACTAAATGAAAACACAAAACAAGTGTCAAACAGTAGTAGTTAGACCTTTCCTATTAATCATGACCTTAATGTAAATTTTCTAAATTCTCCAACTAAATGTAACCAAATGGATTAAACCCAACTGTGGGGCCAGTGCTGTGCATGGGCGGGCGGGCTCTGTTTAGATTTGGTTGAGCTGCTCCTGGGGGAAGGGATGGGTGAGGGAATGATGGCACGGCTGTGGAAGAGCTGCAGGTGGCCGGCAGGGTTCTGACACAAGTGGTGGGACATGCCTACTGAGTGGTCCTGGACTTTGGGCACGGGTCCCACACCAAGAGCTTGACCGACCTGGACAGGAAAGAAGGCCTCCTCCTCCACCCAGAACACGGAGATCCAGAGGAGGCAGAAAGGGCTGGGCTCGCATGGTTGAAAGTTAGGCCAAGAGCTAACCCTCATGGTCAGGGCTGGGCGAGAGACCCCCATTGCAGCTACAGGAATGCGACCTCGGTCCGGGGCCCGGATCGGAAGCACGAGGGGCCGCAGAGCCCGAGCTGCACTGCCCTTCAGGAAATGCGGGGCTGAATGGCACCTGCCCACTTCTGGGATACCAGAGAGCAAGACAAGGCCTTACAACCCGGGGGTGGGGAGGGGAGCTGGCACCACTGCAAATGGGCAGCCAGGAGGGAACAGAGAGAGCTAGGCTGGGGACAGGCCCGGGGAAGGACCCCCGCCAAAGAAACACGAGGGCGGGGATGTGTGTGTGGCTCTGCCCGGCCTCTGTGCCAGCCCCCACAGAGCTAGTCCCGGTCTAGTCCCGGTCGGGGTGCCGGATTCTGTCCCAGTTGCCCCCTTCCAGGCCAGCTCTCTGCTGTGGCCTGGGAGTGCAGTGGAGGATGGCCCAAGTGCTAGGGCCCTGCACCCCATGGGAGAAGCACCTGGCTCCTGGCTTCGGATTGGCGCAGCGGCCATTTGGGGGGTGAACCAACAGAAGGAAGACCTTTCTCTCTGTCTCTCTCTAACTGCCGGTAAAAAAAAAAAAAAAAGAAAGAGAGAGAGAAAGAGAGAGAAAAAGAGAGAGAGAGAGAAAGAGAGAGAAAGAGAGAGAGAGAACGAGAGAAAGAAAGAAAGAAAGAGAAAGAAAGAAGAAAGAAACCTAAAAAATAAGGGTCAAGAGAACGGAGATCGCTCTGCGTCCTCTTCTGGGGTGGGCAGAGGATCACCATCCCCTGCAAGGTCGAGACCCGGCGAGGTGTGAGGAAGATGGGCGGTGCAGAGAGGGCTCGCGCCAGGCCCTCGGCTGCAGCCACGACACCTGAGGGCGGCAGGGTTCTGGATTCGGGGTCATCTTGTTGTGTGCAGCAGCTGGCGTCCGGGAGGTGTGCGCCCGAGGCGGCCTCTGCCCTCCCTCCGTCCGTCCCTTCTTGGCGCTGAGGGGCAGCCGTCATTAGGCGGCAACGGAGCCTGCAGGGCTTCAGCCTGTGGAGCCCGGCGGCTCCTGAGGTGACGCCAAGGAGACCAGCTAGGTCAGAGTCTTGATCTTTCCGTTATTTCCAGGGCGAGGAGCTCCAGTTTCGGCTCCGTCTGTCAGGCTGCTGTGGCCGAGGCACCTGCTGGGCTGGCCTTGGCCGGGAAGCTACAGGGCCCCTGCGGCTGCCCGAGGCGGGTGTAGTCGTCGTCCGCGCCCCGCAGCCCCTCGCAGATGCGGGTCAGGGTCAGCAACTCCGTGCCGGTCATGCTGTCAAACCAGGGCGGCCCGGGCACCGCGTTCTCCGGGTGGAAGGTGTAGGACTGGCGCCCGGAACACCCCACCGCGGTCCCGCAGGCCCGCCGGTCACAGCGTCGGCGTCCTTGGCCAGCTTGGCCGGAAGAGAACACATCCCAAGGGCGCCCCCAGTCGTCTCGGGAGCTCATCCAGGAAGGCCATGGATCACGTGCACCTGGTGAGCCGGCGCCTCCATCCCTGCAGGCGTTGGTGGTGGGCTTAAAGGAGCTATGCGCAAGGGTTTCCTCTAGGTCAGTGACCACACATTTCCTGCCTTGGTCTTCGGTCGCTTCCAGGGCCAGGCAGATCCCTGGGATCTGGTAAACTGGTATGGAGAAAAGCCGACTCAGCAATGGGGTTGGCTTCCTGCTTGTAGGCGGTGGGCTCAGTGGAGGGGCTGCACTGGCCAGCATGCTGGGCGCCTTGAAGATGTTACGTCCACGAGGCCTCTTAGGAGACGACTTGGAGACCGCACTTTGCTTGGTGAGCTCTGGGGCGTCGTCCTGGGTGATATCCTGGGTGATGATGGAGCCGTGTTCCATCTAAGAATCCCACGGACCCTGGGCTGGCTAGGTGGGAGGACCGGCGGGCGCGCGGGCTTGGCTAGGGATGTGGGCGGGGGGCTCCTGACACTGTGACCCCTGCTCTGTTTCTTCCCCAGGGCCTGTACGGAGGGCGGGTGGCCCCGGGAAACAGCTCCCCCCTAGTGCCCTTGGCCTTGATCCCCTGGTGGTAGCTCTGGGCACCTCAGTGTGGGTCTACAATTTTTAAGTTTTTTTTTTTATAATATCCAATATCTATAAGGTATGATGGCCCACAGAATATTATAATAATGGTTTGATTATAGTACCGTTTCTTCAGAAGCTCAAATCTTTTAGCAGGAGTTCTTGTATTTACCTTTTAAGATGCTGCAAATGGCTCCAAGCTGGTGTTTGGGCACTAGGGTGTCACCCTGACTGGTTAAAGCAGGAACTAGATGTGTGACTGCCAGAAGTCCTTGAAATGTCACATTCCGTACTCCAAATTAGAGTTAAAACTGAGAAACTAAAGCTCAGACAGCAAAGACCTCCTCCATGTCACATACTGATTGACTAAGGGCCAACATTTACTTTTCCTGCTATATAAGTTAAACTTATGACTGCTTTATAGTTTATTTGAAGTTAATTTTTCTATTTTTTACACTAAAATACCTCAGTGGTATATTATATAACTTAATAAGCTTAATTTTGGCCTTCCCAAGTGCTTTTGGGAAATCAGTGACCTGAAAAATTTTATAAACTACGTTTATGAAGTGCATTGGCTAGGTATATAAAAACCAGTTCATCTGAATATTTTATTAACGTCAATGCTTTTTGACTTTTGTCTCTCCTATTTGGTCAAGCAAATCAACTTATATGGATGCATGAGCATTTGTTCATTCATTTAGTCGTTTGTCCATTCAACAAATACGTACTGAATGCCTCCCGTGTGCTGGACGTTGTTCTGAGGCGTGGAGGGGCTTAGTGATGAGGGATAACTTTCATTGCATGCATACTATATGTGAGATACCTGGCTGAATGTGTCACTTTAGTTATTTATCCTTCAAAATAAATCTATGAGGTAGGTACTATTTTCTATATTTTTTGTCAGCATAGGGAGAGTTAGAGGTTGTGTCGAAATAGGAAATGTTATATCCAATTATCTCTGCCTTTAAGCTTCTGATCTTCATAATGGACAATTCTTGGTTGCTTTCCCAGCGTCTACCCCTTCCTCGCATTAGCCAGCATCTCCAGATATCCGTGTGGTTAGGGCAATCACACAATCTAGCTGTGAAGATTAATGTATTCTCTTTCTTTGACCAGTTTCCAAGCACATAACCCAAGTCAGTTCAGAGTGGCTCTAGAAATTCCTGAAATATTGGGCAAATGATTCTTTCATTCTGAGCATGAACCATGACAGTCGATAGCCAAGGATAAAACCCTTGCTCTTGGATAGAGCAGAGCAAAAATAAACTAGATGTTGGTGACATGACTGGAAACTAGTTCATGATGTTGTCATAGGTTCAGTCCTCATCTGAATTAAGCTTCATTGCTGGAAGTTTTAGTTATGACCTGAAGTCCACTTTATTGTGTTAGCCAATTTTAATGAGGTCTAATGCTACTGAAAGCAAAGGCATTATAATTGATTATCTTCAAACTCTATGTTATCCTGCCTTAGTTATAAGTAGGCCCTTGCATATTATATTGCCTCAACCTTAACCAGCCTGAATGGTTCATTTCTCATAGAGCTGATAGTTCCTTGAAGGAAAACTTAACAAAGAAGAAAAAAAAATACTGGGATTAGGCAAGGGCAAGATAATAAATAGAGCAGCACAAATACATGGGTCTCCACGTGGGGATGGAATGAGGTAGCCACAAGGAGGTGACAAGAATAGCAAACCACAGGTTTTGCACACCTCCAGTTTTTGTCATCATCTATTTCTTTGTTTCGTTCTCTTGTCATTTTTATTGAAAGTTTCAAAGTGTGACATTTAATTTGAGTAAAAGTTTCTAGGAGTCAAACTTTCCTAGTCTTCCAGGGTTTAAAGCTTTCTTGTTCCATCCCCGTGGAAGGAGCCCTTTACTCAACTACCACATGCAATGCATTTAAAATAATAAACACACACAGAACTTTAGTTTTGCTAAGAGATAAACTGGGGGACTTCTCATTTTGGAAGCTCCTGGGAAGTGAAGCCTTTATGATGTGTAAGGAGACAGTAAAAATATCCAGTAGCTTTCACCACAGCTAACACCACATTCTGGAGGTGCTCAGGTTATTCATGTTTTTTTCCAATTAATTCCATAATTTTTACTCTTTTAACCTTCCTTCTACATTCTTTTCCGTTATAAGAGGTAAACACAGGAAATCAAGACCCCTAAACTTGCCCATCTTTTAAAGTAACCTCAATCACTTACTATATTGAAGCGTTTTGTCCTCCAGTCTCTATCTAAGCACTATTAATGTATTAATTCATACTAATCTACATGGTTCATTACCATTAGCCTCACATTATAAATAAAAATGTAAAGCATTACATCCTCCTGCTTTGCAGTTGTGGGGTCCAGGCGTTGAACTCAGAAACTAGCTCCAGAGTTTGCTTCCCTGACAAAATCCTTGTGCCTTTGTGCAGATGCCCTGTACCTAGCTTTGAATTGTTCTTTTCTACTTTAAACAAGTCAGCAAACTTGATGTCTTTGTTTTCAGTCCATGTTCACAAGAATTTGCATCAGCTTGTGGTGCTCTTTTAGTATGATACTCTGATATCATGTACCACTTATTTTTCCTTTAATTCCATTCATATTTTTAAAATGACAGCTGCTGGTGCCACAAAGTAAAAAGTTAATCCTAGTAACCATAGTCTATGAATGTTCAGTTCCTGGAAATCCTACATACGAGAGCAGTGTTCTTTGGAGTAGAGGTGTTCATTCCCTTCCTATTGGCATTTTTTTTTAAGATTTTATTTATTTATTTGAGAGGTAGAGTTACAGACAGTGAGAGGGTGAGACAGAGATACAGGTCTTCCATCCACTGGTTCACTCCCCAAATGGCCGCAACAGCCAGAGCTGCGCCGATCTGAAGCCAGGAGCGAGGAGCTTCTTCCGGGTCTCCAATGTGGGTACAGTCACCCAAGCACTTGGGCCATCTTCTACTGCTTTCCAAGGCCATAGCAGAGAGCTGGATCAGAAAAGGAGCAGTTGGGACTTGAACTGGCACCCATATGGGATGCCAGTGCCGCAAGCAGAGGATTAGCCTACTGCGCCACAGCGCTGCTCCCCTTATTAGCGTGTTCTACTGTTCCATGTTTTGAACCATGAACCCTATCCTCTGACATTAAAAATGTAAAGTCTTTCAGTCCTCTACCTCCTATCTTTTCATTTCTCTATCTCCTACCTCTGTTGTGTAGAAATTCTGCTGCCACTGCTCTGGCCTCTCTGACATAGGAAAAGGGAAGCACTCACTGCCACACCTGTGGTACGGCATTTATTGAGACTATTCTTGGCATCTGGTGTTGGAACTTAGAAATTCCACTTAAATGGTGATTATATCATGGAATCTCACATTTTCTTTAAGTCTGGGCTCCTGCAGCATGATCCCCAGGGGTGCTTGTTAAACAAGTAATTCATAGGCCTACTGAATTGAAATCTCTTTGGGTGACATCACCAGATCCATATTTTTAAGAAGCTAAATTTGAAATCCAGTGTTCCCATTCCCATTGGGGATGTAAGATGAGCTGAATCCTTCTAGAAGCAGAGTTTTGTGTATTATCCAGAGAATTTATGTGATGAAAGTAACTTAAGATTGGGGTCTTGTTATTTAAAATCCCTCTCTGCCTTAACAGAGGTTGAGTCCCAGTAGCTTTCCCGAGCAAAGTGATGCAGGTGCAAATAATAGTTTTGAAAATAAAGCTGGTGCTGTACTCCTGTTTATCCTTTTTATGTAGGAGATATGGGTGCAGGGAGGGAGGCAAAGACCATTTCAGAAAGCTATCTCCAGGAGCAAAGAGACTGGGTAAGGGGGTCGCTGTGCTATTTGAAGTAGCAAAGCATGAAGCTGCTGGAGACACTGAGAAGACAGATCAAAGGATTTTTCAAGAGACATGCTACCTGCTTTGCTGTTAATAATCCTTTTGGCCCCATTGATATTCATGAAAAGTGTGAAGTCGCCAATGTTTGGAGATATAATCTCTCTCAAGCAAGTTGAAGATGTCATATGGTTTGCCTCCAAGTTGTCAGCGATAAGAATACCGACCACCTGCCTGTGTGGAGACAGCTGCTGCCCGTCTTGTGGGATGATGAGTGTAAAGGCATTATGACGTCTTCTACCTGCTAACCCTCCCAGATCTCCATGCTCTGTGTATTCTTTTTCATGGTTTGGGGTTGCAGGGGTGGAGAGAAGGAAGTAGTGGCCTGGAGTAGAAGGTTTAAGAGGATTGAGATGGAGAGATCTGCATAGAGAAACTGGGATCTGTGGTCAAGATTCTTGCAGGAAGAGGGAGTGTTCATTGTATGTGATAGAAGCACACCCACGATGTCTTAGAGTTTCATATAGATGAAATTAGAGGCATCTCAATTTAGCCTTGGTTTCTGTATAGGGTGACGAGTGTGGGCGTGAAAAAGGGAACCAATAGTACATTGTTCCATTTAGAAATGGGTATAAGCTTCTTCTGGTTCTCCCCTTTGTCCTCAGGACTGTTTCTGCTCAGTGTCTACTGTCTTTTTCTCTTTTCAAATTACCCTGAAAATGTAATGTTCTTGAGCATTCTCCCTTTCACATCTAGCCAGTTCTCAATCAGATCAGTTCTACCTCTTTATTCTCTTGCTACCTTCCTCTTATCTGCAGTCCTGCAGTAGCTAAGTACCTGCTTATCACCCACTTGGATTACCACAATAGCCTCCCAGAAGAGGCCCTTGTCTCCAGTCTTGTCCCCTTTGCTAACTCCTGGATGCTGGGATGCTGTCTGATCACAGCATATGCAATAATCGTTATGTAACTCAATGGCCTTCCCATATATTTCAGGAAATGA